CAAATATAAATCATCTTACAGGTAGTAAATAGTATAAAAATCCAAACAAAAGTGGGAACAACAACCCCAAAATCCAGCTTCCCTTGTCTAAGTACTCAATGACAACTATTTAGCCTTTTGTTACTCAAATTTTGAGCACTAAGGTCCTAATAGAGTCCTTTTTACACTTACGTAGAGAAACAGAAAAATCTCAGTAACTATAGAAGAATTTGCTAATTTTACACTTTTGTATAAAAGAAATTCATAATAATTATTATCTACCTAGCCAAATGCAGTTCAGTACAGAGAAACAGAATAGACACTGGTGGTGGTTTTAACAAACAGAAGGGTATTCCATCCCATTTATTCAAATTACTGTTAACTGGGTAATAGGAAATATTTGCGCACAATGCAGTAAAAAGACTCAGTTGCATTACACAGTCAGCATTATGTTGGAAACCAATTTAGAAAAGTCATGTATTAATGAAAACCCTAAATAGCTGTAGGGAAACCTACACATTTCCAGTAATAAGGATTTTACTGAAGTAATTATAAACCTATTTAAAGGTTTAAAATTATATAATGAGTTAAGAAGATATCATTTACATTTATAAAGTAGAGAGAAAAGACTAGAAAGCAAAATACTAAATTATCTCTGAGGTTCATGCATTCAAAAAACCACCTACTGAATGTCAACTCTGTGGCACATATGATGGGCAAGAGGAACTCAGCAAATTATCAGAGACCCACACGTGCTCACAAAGTTCACATTTTAAAAGCAGAATGCTATTATAGAATTTAAATCATAATTTCATTATAAAGAACAAATCATAATATTATCTCTAAATGATAAAAACTATGGTTGTGACTTAATATTCTATCAATTCTTTTACAATGGATACATATTTTAACCACTCTTTTAACTTCTCCCTCCAAATAATGTAAGAAAAACAGAAATGATGTTTATTAAAGCAAACAAGCATCTTTTAAATAATTTCATTTTATTCTTCTCTTTAATTATTTATAATCCTTTTAAATATCATTTAGAAATATATTCCATGCACTTAATGATAGTTTTATCCTTTGATCTAATGATTTCATATCAAGAAGACACAGTTGACATAACAGACCAACACAAGGAGAAAGCTCTCTGTATAAGTATGCTGCCTCGTCTCATTTTAGGTGCGAAAAAGGAAAAGGAAATGGAAAAACTATTTCAAGCAGGAGGCTAGCAAGGACACTATGACACAGCTTACACAGCTGAGTCTTATGCATTATTTTACTTTGGCAAAGCTGCTCCACAAATGTACTATCTGTATTCTTTACTGCTATAATACCAGTTCTTGGCATAGCAAGTTTTCAATAAATAGGAAATTATATTCTTGTAACATGAGGAAACAGTTAAACTTTAAAATATAAATTATATGTATATATACATGCATGCACATGTGTATATATTATGATCAACAATTATGGAGAAACCATGTACCAAAAGATGTACTGTCAAGAAAATGCACCAAAATGTTCAAAGCAATTGTCTCTGGGAATCTTTCTATGTTTTACACAACAAGCATTTATACTTTTGTAACTAGAAGAAACACAGCTGCTACAAATACTGCCTGCATGTTTATCAAGTCTATTTGCTTTCATTCCAGACACACAACCGTATTATATTCTTGTGCCTTCCTACATGTTCTCTGTGGACACATGCCTAAGTTCTGCCAGTGAGTCCTGCTCTTTACATCTTTCCTCTGCAATCTATTTTGCCTCTTCTCATATACTCATTGGACAACACTAAGTAAAATTCTGTGTTGAGACCTGAATGAGTCCTCAGCACACAGCCCCTCCCACTCACAACTCGATGCAGTATCATCAGGAAGGAAACTTCCATCATGTGAAGCCTTGAGATTTAGGACTCAACTTTTACTACAACTAATACTGATATCTTAACTAGTAAATATGTAACATTGAAGTAATAAAAAACAGACATACTATTATTTTAAAGCTGCACAATAAAATTCCTTATTTAACTTACTAAATAGAAAAGAACTGATTAACATTCTCTGACAGAACACTTATAATGCTATTTATGAAAATAAGACTTTGAAAACAACACAGATATTTAATGGAAGTATGAAGTAAGAAAAAGAATTTAGCACAGTGAACCTCAGAACAGAATTTAATTATCTAATCTAAAGAACAAAATAATTCAAAGTCAAAACTGGCTACATACCAAGAGCCTGTCTCAAAAAAACATAAAAGAACAACAAAAACAATTGCTCAATTTATGTTCATTTAGCTAACATTAGAGTAAATTTTACTCTTAAGCAATGTGTTATGACCCTAGCAAAGAAAAGTTTAGATTCAGTTTCAAGAGCAAAAAACTCCTTATATTATAGTAGTCAATTTTATCTTTTCATTTTACGTGTATGAGTGTATTGACTGCATGTATGTGTGTTGTGCAATGCCCATATCATATTCCTTGGAACTGGAGTTATGGACAGTTGTTAGCTGCCATGTGAGTGCTGGGACTTGAACCTGGATCCTCTGCAAAAGCAGTCAGTGCTCTTAAACACTGAGCCAACTCTCCAGTCCCAGCAGTCACTTTTCTTAATAAGGTTTCTATGTCAATATCAAAGCTGTCCCTGTAAGTGATGTTTGACACTAAGCTAGTGAGACTGAGCATGTAAGGACACTCATGGAGAGACACCAGGATGTTGACAGGCAAGGCGAGGCAAAGCAAGGGAGAACAGGTGATTAGAATACAGTACACGAAGGGATCATATGAGAAATACACACAAACAGCAGTCAGCAGTGCAATCAGAACTAGGACAAATTGGAATATGGGCCAAAGAGGCTTGGGCTCAGAAAGTGAAGTCACTCACATTTCTGGCTTTCTCCAAGTACATTTTATATCTTTCCTCCATTGCTTTCATGTCTTCATCCTTCTTCTGAAGAGCAGCCTCAAGTTCACTGATCTTTTGGACTATTAATAAAATGAAATGAAAATGTCACATATTTATAATAGTTGATTCTTATACAAAAATTGCATTTATCACACTTATTTTTCAAAGACTTGTAAGAGAATTTAAAAGAAAAGCTTTTCTTCCTTTGTAGTTTGTTATCTAAAATTTTTGAACTGCATCTAATATACCCTCAGTCATTGTCCGTAGTCTAGATATTCTGTGCTTTCTATCACTTAAGTAAACCTTCTAATGTAAGCAAAACCATAGTAAGAGAAAATAATCCAGTATTTCTAATTATAATTATTCTGTTCAAATTCTATAGTATTAACTCTACTACATTTTCCAATGTTTGATACTCCTATATATCAATCAGTTCATCCTATTAAATTATATTTTTTGCTTTAAAATGGTTCATACATAAACGAACCCAGCACTATAAATCGGCATGGCTCTTATTTGCAATGTACATGACCATATATTATGCAAAGATTTAAACAGGTTCTACTCTCCTTCACTAGAAGGGTAAATCCTTGGATAGAAGTCTGACACAAACTTTAACAAATACTTACCATTTTGATTTATATCTGGCTGAAGCTCTTCAATAAGCTCTTGTTTCTTCTGTAGTTCTTCATGGACTTCTGTTAGTTTTTCCCTAAACAGTAGAGAGAGCATGAAATTTGGAGTCAAACAGACCTAAAGATGAAAACAGATCTTTGCCACATTAGCATTGTGGACTTTGGGGAAGACGCTTTCTGATCTTTTGTCTTCTCACATGTGGAAATGGGAATCATATTCACCTCACTACAGGAACTGCTGTGAGGATGGGAATTAATTGCCTGATACAAGATGGCTTCCAAATTGGCAACTTTTTTCCTCAGTACTCTTTTATTCCCAGGAAAATAAATGATTTTATAGATCAAAATCCACAATATCTAGTTGGCAAGTGTCTGCTTTGTTAAGTTAGTCAGATGGTATTAGCAGTTCCTCCCAAGCCCACGTGATCCCTGAGGAACAGATCCTCAAACGACCTTAAGAGTAAAACTAAATCGGTTTATCTGGACCAAGAGCATGGCCTTAAACACCCAAAAGGAAAGTATAACCAAAGATTAAGTGGGCCAACATAATTTCTTGAGAGTCCATATAAATAGCTAAAGGCTACATAACAAGCAACAATGCCAGATAGGCGATAGCTTCTTTTGAGTTCTTGGCCAGGGTGGCCAAAGGGATTCCCAGATACTAACCTAGCACAGGAACTGGGAAAATGAACAGCAGACCCCAATCTTATCTAAGGGAATATTGACAACTGATTACCGCTAGATGAAGAACAGCTGATCCTCCTAAAGCAAAGACCTCTAGATAGGCTGACTAGACTCACCAGAAGGGCAAGTAGTGGGGAATGTCTGGGGTGCCGACAACACAGCAGACAGTAGCAGGGATATCAGAGTATAAGGGCTCTAGTGGGGGGAGGGAGGCTATGGGAGGGTGCCATCTGGGAAGTGGGTGTAAAAATAAATAAATTTAAAAAATTTAAAAAAAAATGCAATTGGGCTGGCTGCCAGGCACCAGCACATGGCACATCTTCTGCTTTCGTGGCAGTGGTGCTTTAGTGGACTTGTGCTTTTATTCACCAAGTCAGAAAAGGAGATTAACTCTAGAAGCTTCAACACTTCCCCTTCTGATTGGAAAAGAAATGAAGGACTGGTTTACTTACATATGAGCTTCCAACTTCTGCTTTAGTTTGCTGGACTATAAAATTAAAAATAATTGCTGTTAAGATGATTCTCTGAAGGGTAAATTTTCCAGACATTTAAATCTCTTCCCCTCTTTTGAAGGTGAACTATGTAAAATTGCTGTCTTTAAAAGTAGTATTTGCAATAATAGTTTTAAGAGCCGAAAGTTTCAGGTGCATGTCCTACAGGAAAATGGCTAGGAAACAGGAGAGGAAGTGAAAAAGAGGAAGAGAACAGGAGAGGAAGTAGAGTACAGTAACAAAGAAATGTTTTGCAGATTTTTGAACGTAATAAACATTAAATTTGAACTTGGAAAATAGCAAATGCTGAACATGATGCACTGAGAAGTGTCAAACATTAAGTAAAGGATCATTTATTAAAAATTTAAATTTTAGGGGCTGGAGAGATGGCTCAGTGGTTAAGAGCACTGACTGCTCTTGCAGGGGACCTGGGTTCAATTCCCAGCACCCACATGGTGGCTACGAACTGTCCTTAACTCTAGTTCCAGGGAAATCCAAAGCCCTCTTCTGACCTCCACAACACTGCATGACACGGGTGAACTCACATACATGCAGGCAATACATTCATACACATAAAATAAAAATGATAGAATATTTTAAAAATATAAATTTTAATACTTATCTTTACAAAATTTATAAATGGAAACATTTTAATATTAACATTGAAATGAAGCAACTGGATTTTGTCAAAAAACAAATTTGAAATGTTTCCTCTTTAAAAAATAGTACTTATAACAGCAGTTCTGTAATAACTAAGTATCTGCAAAGTTTAAAATACATAATTTGACATGCAATCTGGACACCAATAAATTAAAAATAAAAAAGGAAGAAATTCACAATCCTTAAAACATTGCAATCCGAAATGAGCTTCCAAACAGACGCAAACAGATGAGATTTTAAAAGCATTCCCTAATATGGTTTAGTGGTATCAGTATTAGAGAGGGTGCAATACCATATATGTGCACATATGAGATGCTGAATGCATGAGATGACTTCTATGTTCCAATCCCCCAGGAAAAAGAGAAAATCATGTAAAGTATACAAAGCCAAAAAGGAAAAGCAGCCCTCCAATCTTCCTTTTCATCTCTCACCATTCCATTTCCTCCCCCACCGGCATTCACTCCATCAACTACTCTAATATACCCAGCTCCACTTTTTCTTTTTAATTAACTGTTATCTCTCAACATTCTTTTCCTCCCCATATAGAGATCAAATTTCAAGATGTATTAAGATTTCTCTAAATTTATCTTTTCAAGTCTTATCTCAGCGCTCCCACTGTCTGGCAAGGGAGATGTGTGCAGCAGGGAAGCAAGACTGCACTGCGTGCGGTCACAGCATTGTCACCCTTCAGTCAGTACTGACTTCTTCAATGATCTTTCGGTTCAAATCTCTTAATTCAGTCTCTGTGTTCCTCCTAGGAAACTTTCTCAGTTCTGACTGCTGACTATTCTCATTTCATCTTTTTTCAGGCCAACCTTGGAATCCCAACAGATTCATAAGGCCTACAAATGTATCATGCTCTATCAGACTTATCATGAACTAAGTACAGCTGCTGGCACAGGACAGATAGAAAATCATCTCTCGATATACATGGCCAAGACTTCAAGTTGGCAAAACCACTGCCCCTGTTGTGCAGATCTATACGGTATTTAGAGGTACCCTTAATGAGAGGGGTAGCACTTTCAAATGCAAGATCGAAGTGGGTAGCAGGAACCAAGAACCACACAGCAAACTGCTAGACTTCCTTACTTACACTTTCGCCTTCAGCCTTGAAGCCATGCTCCTGCAAGGACTTCTGAAGGTCCTCAATCTGCTGCTGCAGCTCTCGGATGCGTTCTTTGCTGAGCCTATTAGGAAATGAGCAGCTCTTATTTGTTTATACTTAAAGTCAAAGCAGTTAGAGTACATTCAAGGGTACTACAAAGGTACATTCATGCAGTTTAGTGGGAAAAGAAGGCGGCAGGAACAAGCGCAGGCCCTCTTCTAAGAAACTAGCTTTAAAAAGAATAATTTCTTTCCCTCTGAAAGCATGTATGTCCACATCCTAAAATTTTAGATAAAAATGTAGTATTTTCTTCACTGTACTCTGATAGAAAAATTAGAAAGCCAACTCAATTTTCCTACAGTTATATTTTTATTTATTTAGTCAGTTCTGTTTCAGATTTCATGGTGTATAAGGAGAGAAAGGATACTCTTTCAACTACTTCTTGACTTTTTATTTAAATTATACAGGTAATAATAAGTAGTGCTAATAACTAGTGCATAACTAACGAGAAATTCCATTCTTTAAAACTACTGGAGTCTACTCCACTAGAATTTGCCAGCAAGAATCTCTTTCTTTCCCCCTACACACACACACACACACACACACACACACACACACACACACACACAGAGGTATACATGACTATAACACATACTTCTGTACATTATAATACTCTACTGTAGTGTCACTAATATAGTAATTATCTATTAATTGTATATTAGTCTTCATCAATTCTCTAAAATCAGAAAATTAGTACCTCCAGTGTTAGCAAGATAGTAAATAGTGACTAATGTCTTCATAAAATTGACATTTATTTTAAAAAAATATTTTATTATTTTTTGATATTATGTATATGACTGTATTATCTGCATGTGTGCAAGTGCACCCATGTAGTACAATGCTCATGGAAGTTACAAGAGGGTGCTGGATTCCCCTGCAACTGGAGTTATGGATGGTTGTTAGCCACCATGTGGGTGCTGGGAACTGAACCTGTGTCCTCTGCAAGAGTAGCCAGTGCTTTTAACTGCTGAACTATCTCTCTAGTCCCTTTACTCTTCTTTTAATCACAGATGATATCACTCTATATACAAGTTTCAGAACACAAGGTTCAGGGGTCTGAAATTTCTAGTTGTTTGTAAGAAATCTGAAAAACTGAACAAATCCAGATACATTTATATATAGTAGTGAATAAACAAATCCAAATACACTTATATAAAGAATCTCATTCATGAGAGACAGGTTAGAAGAGACCCAGGAAAAAAGATTGACAGAACCGTCCAATGTAGAATTGAGAGTTTATAAGCTGCGTAACTTCTTAACCTCTAGGTATCTCAGCCTCTTTACCCATGTGAAAATTATGATCATCCTCACTAATCCATAGTTAGTGCAAGGATTTAGGCTCAAAAAAGTACAAAGAAGAGTACCTGGCACACAGTAAGCACTGTAACAATATTTATGGGGGTGGAGAAATATCTGTGTGGTAGAGTGATTGCCTAGCATTTAGGAAGGCCTGAGTTCCATTCCTAGCACTGGAAAAAAAAAATCTTAAAGTATGTAAGTAAGGGTATTATGAAGACTGATAGGGAATTCATAGAAACCAGACAGAAGCATTATGTTTACTATTATGCCAAGGTTTATATACCTGAGTGGTACCAGGTAAGCACACTATCTGCTTCAACTACATTACCCAGTGTCCTCTTTTATTTACAGGTGAATACAGGGTATCTGAATTTAAGTAACTTGCCTAAAAACAGTGACTGAATTGAAGCAGACATAGGCTTCAAACTGACTATATAATCTGTGTCCCATCTGCACACCAACTGCAGAAGCAGCCATACCATCATTTACTCATTCATTTTCTTTCAACTGTGAAGACGTCTAATGAAAGTCAAGGGTAAGTAACCTGACCAACCAAGTCTTTTAAAATTAACAGATCAGCCACTTCTCTTACAATATCATCATTGAACTAAATCACTTGACTTCTTTCAGGGAGCAAAATTTACTGTGGTGAGAAAGAACTTCGGATGATGCTATTTACTTGGACCTGAGTGATGACAGCTTCCATTTTAGGTAAGGAATCATGAATTCTGCTGATAGCAGCAGTCACCTTTGCTCAGTCTCCAGCTCATTCGTCCTGCGCTGCTTCTGCTCCAGCTGCTCCTGCAGCTTCTCAATGTGCTCATTCTCAGTACCCTCCTGCTGCAGGCGAAGCATCTTATTCTCATGCTGCAATCGGATGAACACCTCTCTGACGTTGGAAAAAAATTTTGCTTTTAATTTTTAATAAGAGTTGCTGTATTATTCTTACTTGTTTTTACATTTATTTACTCATTTTCTGTGTGCATGTATGTGGGCACATGTGCACCACAGTATCCATGTGGAGGTCAGAGGACAACATGTGGGAGTCAGTTCTCTCCTTTACCATGTGAGTCCCAGGATCAAACTCAGCATATGTGGCAAGTGCCTTGATCTTCTGATCACCTCATGACCACAGCCTATTTGTTTAAAAAGGAAATCTGTGTTTATTCAACAGCTACCATTTTTTAAAATTTTTATTTATTATTTTTATTTTATGTGTATGTGTGTATTGCCTGCATGTAGGTAAGTGCACCCGTGTCGTGCAATGCCCGCAGAGGTCAGAAGAGGCTGTTGGATCCCCTGGGACTAGAGTTACGGACAGTTGTTAGCTGCTATGTAGGTGCTTGGATTCGAACCTGGGTCTTCTGCAAGAACCACCAGTGTTCTTAACTGCTGAGCCATCTCTCCAGCCCCAACAGCTATCATTTTAAAATATGATCAAAAGTTCTGACAGGTTTTCAGAAAAACTATGTATGCTGTGAGATTATACCTCAAAAACAAGTAGTAAACTGTTACAGGTATCAGTATAGCAGATATGAACAAATACTATGCAAATCCCTATACAATATTTAACTTTTACATTTCTAAAAAATATCTTATTTATTTTTATTTTAATGTGTATGCATGTATTGCCTGCATGTAGGTAAGTGCACCATGTCCTGCAATGCCTGTGGAGGACAGAAGAGGCTGTCGGATCCCCTAGAACTGGAGTTATGGACAGTTCTTAGCTGCCATGTGGGTGCTGGGATTCGAACCCGGGTCTTCTGCAAGAACAGTCAGTGTTCTAATCCACTAAGCCATCTCTCCAGCCCAACTTTATATATAATTTTAAATGAGATAACTAATGTAAAGCAACCTTTGTTATATAGATTTTAGACAGTTTCTCTTTTTAATAACATAGCACCTAACTGTCACAATTAGTAAGGAAAGTCCTCTTACAAATCTAGAAAGATAATTTGCCGAATTTTGCTTCTGATGTATTTTTAATGGCTGTGTTAGCAATAACAGTCTTCTTTATGAAGTTTAAATGGATGGGTCAAAGAGAATTTCAGTATGGTTTGTAAAATACCATTCTAGAAAAGGAGTAAGGCTACTCACTACATGGGTACATATATGGCCTAGTCTGACAGGTTAACTAGCACTGGTCACACTGAGCGGATTTGGAAGGGAGGCAGGAACGGAGAATAACTAATGAGTATGGGTCTTTTGGGTGCAAAGAAAATGCTCTAAAATTAGACGAGGAAGACAGTCACATGACAGTGACAACTCTGAATAAAATCCAGCAAGATAAGTGGTTTTAAGTGGATGAATTACTTCTCAATAAAAGTAAGCAAAGGATCATTTTAGTTTCAATAAATCAGACTTTGCTTTTGCAAAAACCATGAAAATAATATTGTAATATCACGGGATAGATAATCTACAAGTAAACTATCAGGAAATAATCAAGAGAAAAGATGGATTAAGAGAAACTGTTAAATTTATATTTTATTTAATTTCTGCTTAATTCTCACTGTTATTGACAACTCTTCTATTTTATTCAACCCATGTGGACTTGAATGTCATATATTAAGTTTTCCAGAGGTTAAAAAATGGTTTCAGTACACTATAAAATTAGTCATAAAAATTAGACTGTTAACTCTGTCAGTTTGTCAAATTTTACTTCTGATGAACTTAATTGCTCTGGTAGCAATACTACTATTAAGAAAGTTTTCTTCATCTCTATGATTCATTAAATGTTTTAAAGGCTAAGCGACTTACATACTTAAAAAAGACAAAAACAGAAGCGGCATTCCTACCATTAAGTATGGATTCTTAATCAGTACGAACACTTTTACCTGTATTCCACGGGCATCATCTCAGCGGCGAGGTTCTCATAACTCTTGGTAGCAGATGCATCTAAGCAACAAAAATGGACTCCTGTTTCATCAGTATTTCAACCAACCAAACAAACGAAAAAAAGAAAACGAAACAACAACAAAAAAGCGCCTCACCAGCTTGGTTCAGGTGATCCTGCTGTGCCTGCGAACACCGCAGCTCCTCGTTGGTTTCCTTCAAAGTGTCACGCTGTTCTATCAGCCTCTAAAAGAAATTGATATCAGCAGACCATTCAATTCTGACCATGAGATATTCAGCATGCTTACAATAACTTCAGTTTGATAATTGTAATTGAAACAATATTTTTAGTTTTAAGAAGTTCATTTTCTCTTGCATAAGTTGTATAAACAGTAGCCTTTGTACAACACACTGTGGATTCTCTAATGACTAGGGTAAGTTTATCTTTAAAGTAAATGAATGCAACTATTTTCAATGTAGAAATAAGCCACTACACGGTAGGTAATAGCAAAAGACTTTTGAGACACACAGATCAGAGTTTGAATTCTACTTTCTCCACTTAGTTATATCTTGGGAAAGTAAGTTATTTGACTTTTTGGCATTAGTATCTCTATTTTAAAAAATGGAAATACCAATACAAAAACCCTTGCCAAGATGTTTTGAATAAAGTACAGCATAAAGGATGGTATGTAAGAAATGCTGAAGACTAGTGAATTCTCCTCCCGTTGTTGCGGACTTCCTCTGAAAGAAGTAGTAAGTCACATCCTGGAAGCAAAACCCATGGAGAACACTATTTCCCATAGATTAATGGGTGCTAATACTTCACGTCACTGATTGCTCTGTTTTAGAGCCTACACCAATCACATAGTTGTGTTCTGAAAAAAAGGCTCACATACAAGTCACGTTCCCAGAGGCTGAAAAGTATTTCTAAATAAAAAACATTATTTTAAATGTCATATTCGAAGTAAATAAACAAAATTCTATTTAAGTTCACTATGTGGTTCAAGTCCGTCCAGCAGAAATTCAAGCCAGTGATTCAAGGTCTTTAGGTTGTAGTTGACAGATATCCTAGACATTCCTGACCCTTATAAATTAAAATCAGGGGCAGGCACAGGGACCTCTCTAAATATGCTCTTCATAACTACAATGAAAATACTAGAAAACCTGCCCTTATCAACTTCACAGAATTCTGGAAATAAAGGTTAAGAATCACCTGGGGAATATTCACTCAAGTAAATTTGCTAAATTTTCATTACAACATAAAGCTTTTGCTCTTTTTTTAATTAATAAATTGTATTCTTTGACAATTCAATATATGTATATAATGCATTCTGGTTAGTCTCCCCTCCCCCTCTTTTATCTCCTTCCTACCCTTACCAGGCCCTTCTTCCTTACAAATCTCCTTAGTGTATTTACTAGTTTTTATTTTTTTCAGTGTCTGGGGGGCCATCTGTGAGACTTTTAAGTTGCTGTCGGGCTATCCCCTCTTCCAGTTCTGGAGTAGCTTTGAAAATAGCAGCTCTTCAATCACTGAAGCTGTGGTAACCAGGAGCGCTTAACAGCCACCGAAAGAGGCAGATCAGAAAGGAATCTCCTCTTTAAAACAGTTTTTATTTGATATGTCCTACAGACTCTCCAAAACCAGGATGTACGGATCTTCATTATTTGACTGGCTTCATCTGCTTTCTCAGCAGGAAAAGTTGTATTCTCTAGGTATATATCAAAAACAGCTACCAGCATCTGTTTGCCACTAGTGTTAAAGGCTGTGATACCAACAACAATAAACAAGATCCTCACCAAATCTCTCAAGGAAGATCTGAGAAACAGAATGCCTAAGAGAATAGGAAAACCTCTGACATGTTCCTGGAGGTTTAAGAGGCAAGCTACTAAGCTCAGGAAAGCCCTCAGAGGAAGGCTCAGTGGCCCAACCACAGATGAACCTGAGATTCTGTACGGCAGGAAATAAAGGCAAAAGTATGATTTTAAGTTGTGTGAGCACCAATGGTGATTTCCAACACAACATCCAGTCCTCTGGCAAAGGTTGTAAGAAATACTGGTTGGGGGCAGGTGTAGTAATTTCAGACCAATCATGAACTACCAACAATGATAAATAAGCAGAGACCAGTGGCTTCCCATTATAAAGAACACAAGTTTTATAGAATTAACCCAAAAATATCACTAAGAAACAAGACAAATTATGAGCTTTGAAGAAATATGATTTTCAAGTGGATAATATTTTATCAAATGTCAGGCTTTCAACACAAATACCAAACATACAAAGGAATAGGCTAGGCTATTCACAGGTTAAAAAAAAAAAAAGTCAACAAAACAGCCAATGAAACAGGTTAGTACATGGCAAAAATCAAAACAAGCTACTTTAAATATACTCAAAAAACCATGAGCAAACAATGAAAAGAGGGTGGAGAGAGTGCTCAGCAGATAAAGACCTGTGATACCAAGCCCTACAACCCGAGTTAGATCCCTGAGAGGAAAGATCTTGCTCATGGTTTCAGAGATGTCAGTCCATCATAATGGGGAGTGGATGGCAGAGTAAAACAGTTCATGTAGTGGTGGCCAGGAGACAGAAAAAAGGAATAAGAGGGGCCAGGGCAAGACAAAGCCTCCAGAACATGCCCCTAGTGATATACTTCCTCCAATTAAGCCACATCTCCTTCTTTTACTACCTCCTACTAGTTCCAACATATTATGAGTCTGTCAAGGAATTAACCCATTGCTTAGGTCAGAGTCCTCAGAATTTATCACTTCCTGAAGCCCATTAGCTGGTAATAAAGTCCCCAATGCATGAGGCTTTGGAGGTTATTTCCTATTCAAGCTATACAGATTCCAACTGTAGCATCCTAGCAAAGTTAGACAGTAACAGTGTGTGTGCTATATGTTCAGAAGTGTGCACATGCATGTAGTGACCAAAGGTTGATATGGTTGTCTTACTGGATCACACTACCTCAGGGATCCCCTTCTTCTACCCCCAAGTGCTGAGATTACAGGGAGGCTACCACATCTATAAATACATGAACGTGTCAGGGCATTTCCTTTTCAAATCATAACAGATGTCAATCATACCCCAGTAACAATCATTAGGCAATAACTCGGGTGTGTATGTGTATGTGTATATGTGTATGTATTACTCTGTGTGTGTATACATTTATGTGGATGCCAGCTCAGGGAAGTCAGAGAACCACCTGCAGCAGTTGAAGATTCCAGGGATCAAACTCAGGTTTGGCAGCAGGTGCCTTCATCCACTGGGCTATCACACTTGCCCAGAACTCAGCTCTTACAATTTTAAAACTTAAACACAAAACCACAGTAATCCAAGATGACATGTGATACTAGCCTAGGGACCAGAGATAAGAATCAATGATAAGAGAACTGAAAGGCCAGAAATAAGTTCCTACATTCTGGTCAAATAATTTTAATTTTTTAATCAGTAGGGTTTTTTGAGTAGTTTTAGATTTGTTAGAAAAGTGAACAGGAAACCTCAAATTGCCATACATTTCCTCCTCTTTCCTCTACTACCAACTTCCATATCATTAACATAAGGAATGATTTGTTAATTTGTTACAACTGAAATGCCAAGGTTGACATACTATTATTAACCAAAGTCTGATGTTTAGGTTTTGTTCTTTCTACATCCTAGGCCATGTATACACTATTACAGTATTATGGCCCACTAATTTATAACAAGGGTAACAAGACAATTTTAATGAAGAAAGAGAAGTCACATCAACAAATGGTACTGGGACAATGAATAATAACCTAAAAATGAATGAAGTTGGACACCATCTCACACCATATACAAAACGGAGCACAGACTAAATATAAGAGCTAAAACATAAAATTCTTTAAAGAAAACAAAGAAATCACAACAGAATAAAAGCAGACAACTGTGACTTAATTAAAATAAAAAACTTGTTGCAAACAACACAATCATAAACATGTGAAGACAATACCTACAATCAGGGACAACATTTCAAGATCATTTATCTGAGAAAGGACTTTTAACCAGAACACAAAAATTTCTTATAAGACAATAATAAAATTAAAGAACCAAAGTAAAAATTGGGGAAGGATGTAAAGAGTACTTCTATAAGGAAATACTATACAAATGGCCAAAAGGTACATAAAATTTGCTCAACGTCCTTAGTCATTAGGAAAATGCAAATAAAAGCAATGACATACCACTCCATATTCACTCAGATAACTAAGAAACAGCAGAAAAGTGCTAGCAAAGATGTAGAGGAAAGGCTAAACGTCATTACTAGGCATCACTGTAATACTATTTGTAGATACGTACTTCAAGGAATGAAAAGTGTGCCCACAAAAACTTGTGTATAAATGCAGCAATACTTATAACAGTCAAAAGCGGAAATAGTGCCAGCGTCCATAAACTGATGACTGGACAAACAAAATAAGCGGTGTCAACACAATGGGGGCATTATTCAGCAATAGACATCACAGGAAACATATGTTAATATGGATGAGTCAAGGATTGAAAGAGTCAATCACAAACCTCAAGTCATGTCATTTAATGCTCTTTCAGCCAGGAAAATGTGTGGGGATAGCAAGTATATATACAGTTGCTAAGACTGAAAGGCGACCAAATAGTAGAGTAACTATAATGGTCACAGAACAACTTTTTAGAATGATGACAGTTTTCTCAAATTTGATTGTGATGATGGCACCCCAATTCTGTGGATACACTAAAAACCTTGTGTGATAGTTTTAATTGTCAACTAACTGTCAATATTAGCAGTGTGTGCGTGTGCGTGTGTGTGTGTGTGTGTGTGTGTGTGTGGTAATTATGCTGTTTAAAAATGTATGTATGCTTTAAAGTAGTTGACTGAAAATCTAGCGTTAGAAAGCATACAGTAAGACTCATGACCTTGCTTTGTAACTTCACTGTCCCTTGTGAAGCAAACAGAAGTGAAAAATGAGGGAACACAGAGGTCCTTCCACTCCGTAATGTGTCTTCTTCACTTTCATCAGTGTTCTTCAATTCTCATGGGAGACTCTTACCCTTTCTTGGTTAAATTACATGTTTTATTTATTTTGTAGCTATTGTGAATGGGATTCCTTTCATGATTTCTTTCCAGTAATCTCATGACTGGGGTATAAAACTGTTATTGTTTTTGTATCCTACAACTCTACTGAACTTATCAGTTCTAATATTCTTTCGCTGAGTATTTAAGAAGCTATACAATTAATATTGCTAAAATGTCCAAGCCATCAAAAATTAACAGGTTCAGTGTAATCTCCACGGAAGGACCAATAATAACATTCTCACACAGGAACCAACGGGAAAAATACTAAAATTCCTATGAAAGCACAAGAAAACCGAGTAGTCAAAGCATCCTGCACAAAACGACCAACACCAGAAGCATCACAAACACACCAAACACCATGGTACGGGCAAGACAAACAAACACAGATATAGACTGATGAAACAGAACAGAATACCAGAAATAAAGTTGGGTCTTAATAGTCAACTAATCCTCGGAAAAAGTGACAAAAAACTTACACACTAGAGAAAAAACAGCCTCTTCAAGTACTTTTGCCAAGAAAACTGACCCTTACAGTCTCATCCTGTACAGACACAACTAAAATTGCATCAAAAAGATCTAATGTCAGACACAAAATTAGGAAAACACTACAAAGAAAATATGAAGAAACTTTAAGACATTGGTAGTGGCAGTGATTTCTGGATAGAACCAGAAAAGCAAAATCAGATGAGTGAAGATCATAAACAAACTCTTTGCACAGTTAAGGGAAAACTTAACAAAGGCATGGGATAGCCTAGAAACTGGGAGAAAATATTTCCTAGGCCATTTGGCAAGGGATTAGTACCCAGAATATAAAAAAAAATGCAAAAACTAAAACTTATTTAGCCACTTCTCCAAAGAAGAAATACAAATGGCCAGAAAATATATACAAAAAAATGTTCATTAACATGCGCATGTCCCATCCAGCATGAATGACTATTTTGTAAAAAAAAAAAAAGATAAAACATGCTGGTGAAGATGTGGACAAAAGGTACCATCATGCAGTTTTGATAGGATTATAAATTAGAGCCACTGTGAAGAATATGATGAAGGGTCCTCAAAAACCTACTTCTAGATATACCATGTGATCCAGGTCTCTCATTTCTGGGTATTCCAAGAACATGAAATCACCATGCCAAAAAGATGTCTGCCCACTCACGCTTACTGCAGCTACTCATAATAGCAAAGATGTGGACTCATCCTAGGTACCCATCAAGAGATGGATTAAAATGTAATATATACATGCACGCACAAACACACACACACACACACACACACACACACACACACAAACACACATGGGGGTATACATTTTGGAATATTAGTCAGCAATAAAGATGAATAAAATCTTTTCATTTGCAACAAAATGAATGGAACTGGAAAGCATTATGTTAAATGAAATAAGCTAGAAAGGAAAATACCACATATTCTCTCATATGTAGAGCCTAAAAAACATCTTCAAGACTGTAGAATAGTGAATTAAAGCTGTCAACAGCCCCACTGTAAACCTGGAAAATGTACAGCACCTGTTCCAGAGACTGGTTGCAGGGAGTGCCAGGTGTATAGGGAAGCTTGCCAAAGGGTGGATCGACTGGCTTTTGGTTGCAGTGCCTGGCATTTATCCTCTATTCCGGGAAGAAAAAATGGCCAAGAGTCCCCAGTGCCAGATATCCAGGCATCCAGGCACAGAAGGGGAGGGGTCTAAGATACAAATTAGGGGTCTAAAGACTTCTTAGCATGGCTTGTAACAACCCACCTCTCTCTTGGAGGGAGGTACTGGGGACAGGGCTTACAGACAGGAAAATGAGAATACTGGAGAGCAGCATTTGGTCAGTTTTCAGGTTAGTGTTTACTGCTCTGGGGCACCTGAAGCAGAGTAGCTCAAGCAGACAGCTCTTCAGAGTACTAATCCTCTCAGCAGCTCTACAATGAGGTCTGGCAGGAGAAGTGAAGGAGACAACCTTGACTCTGCCCGCCTCTTCCTGATGGGCAGCCTTGGTCCTTATAGGTAGAGGGCCTGGAGTACTGCCATGCTGAGAATAAACTGTCTTAGGGCCTACTTACCAAGTCAGGTCAGAGTTGTGAGGAGCTTAAAGATTGGGAGTGATGAGAAGATACGGGGGACAGGGGGAGAAGGCTCAATTTCATTAGTTCACACTGCATGCATGTGCTGAAAAGTCACACTGAACCCATAATTATGTACAAGCTACACAGGCTAATCAAAGCCAAATATATTTCAAGGAGTGAAGAACTGATAGAAATTTATGTCATAAGAGTCTTTCATAGCAACAGTTTTTATTTTAATTTCAAAAAGAGCTAGTAGATATCACTGAAATTCTAAGAGCGAGTATAGTTTAAAAGCAAACAGAATGACACATTCCTTATCAAACATTTATGATCACCTCTTTTTCCTTGAGTAAAGCTTCATGCTTTTCTTCAAGCCGCTTCATTTCAAACGCTAGTATATCTGCCCTTTTGGATTCAGAAGAAAGCTTAGCATGAAGATCCTGAACCTTTTTTTAGAAAAAAACAAAAAGTAAAAGAAAATACTTTGTAATATTGATAAACTTTCAGAGTTGAATAAATGAAAAAATGGCTAGAAATAAAATGTCTACACTAATTCTAAGTATCTTAAAAACTAGAACATGGATAAAAGAATTAACATAAAATTCAACATATTCAAGTAATAAACCAAAAATCTGAAAAGGTGCCTTTAATGTTTCTCAAGGGTGCTTGATAAGTGGCAGATCAAAGTCTTTTAGAGTAGCGCTGTCTAGGCATTTGCATGATCCCCAAAACACTAACAAATAACAAAAGCTAAAAAGGGAAAAAAATAAAAAAGCTTAGACTGCAGTATGAGGAGAAAGATGCAGGTAAGTCAAACTCTTTAATCAGCTCTTCCACTTCATTTACACGTAGTTGTTCCTCAGAAGCGCACAGTTCAGTATACTCTATATTTAACTTCTGCACCATTCAGAAAAAAATATGGAAGAGCAATACCGAACCTTGAATGTTACCAGTGAGATACTCAGACACCTCACCTGGCGCTTGTATGTCTCGAGCTGTGTGCGTGCCGCATTTGCCTTCTTCAGCTCTTCTTCTAAGCTGACTGTGTTGTGCATATACATCATATTTGTTTCCTGTAAAGATTTCACCTGCTTGCGAAGGTCATTTAGATCCTGTAGCTTCTGTCGATAACCCTCAACTACTGACTCCAGTCTACTTGCCTTATCTGAGGCAGCCCTGTGACAGGTAAAACAAGGGCATGCACACGTTATTCTTCTGTCTACAAAATGAAATCTTCTGAACTATAACAAAAATGTGGATTTCAGGCCCATTTATTGTTGTAAAGGCATCAAGTATTAAAATACTTCAAATTTAGGTCATGCCTGATGGCACACGCCTTTAATCCTAACACTCAGGAGACAGGGGTAGGTAGATCTTGGATACTGAGGCCAGCCTGGCCAACACAGTGTGTTCAAGGCAAGCTGGGGCTACAGGGAGACAGGTCTCAAAAAAATCAAAACAAAAAGAAAACTAAAGTATTTCAAATTTGATAGGTTATCATACTTTTAGCATAAGTTTTCAAAATAAAATAATTTTATACATATAACTAAATTCTAAACCATTCTGTAGTTTCTAAGGAAAACTTTGTGTGTATCATTTAGCAAACTTCAAAAATATTTGACATGCTTAAATTTTCCTAAACTGGAAATTTGTCTAGCAAAGCACTTTAAAAAAAATTCTTAAAAAAAAATTTTAATTGTATGTGTATGAGTGTACTGCCCGCATGTATGTAAGTGTACCCATGTCATGCCCTCTGCCCACAGAGGTCAGAAGAGGGCATCAGATACCCTGGAACTGGAGTTATGAACAACTGTTACCATCATATGGGTACTGGGAACTGAACCGGGGTTCTCTGCAAAAGCCATCAGTGCTTTTAGCTGCTGAACCGTCTCTCCAGTCCCCCCAAAGCACTTTTCTTTAGAATTGCATTTACCTAACCAACTAGAAACAGCAAAAATGAACAACAACAACAACAAAAAAAAAAATCAAGACATGTCAACAGCCCACATAGGTCTGAATTAATAGCTATCAGGATTTTGTTTCAAATGGATATTTAAAACAGAAAAACAAAAACAAAAAAACCACCTAGGAGAGGGCCAGTGAGAGGGCTCAGCAGGTAGGGTACTTGTTGTAAAGCCTAGCAGTCTGAGTTCAATCATTGGGACACACATGGCGGAAGGAGAAAACCAAGCCCTGAAAGCTGTCCTCCGACTTCCACAAATGCACCATGGCACATGCACCCCTTTCTCCACCAAATAAATAAATGTAAAAACAAAACAAAAAATATAAAGAGCATGTGGACAGTTTGTTCATTGGGTTCACTGGGCAATACTTCATAGACAACAGCTATAAACTTTCTATTTCCACAGACAATTCTTCTAGAAGGAATTCTTATCTATATTTATATAAACTTCATTAAATGCCTTGATATACACTGCAAGAATATATTCCCGTACCATGAAATTTGTCAACTGTAGTAACGGGTATAAGGAGATCAATCTATATTATCATTTACAAACTGTTAGGAAAAAAATCATCATTTGGGATTTTATGGGCTCTAATGTGAAACTGTCATAAAAAGAACTGAGTATAATGCCCTTAAACTACAACTCTGATTAATGAGCACCAATGACAATGACCAGAAGTCTAGATAAAAACTGATCAATACTTGATAAAGGGATAATACTAAGAACCCCCGATTAAAACAGAGACTAATCAAGTTAGCTACGTGATAACTTAGAAGCAGCAAGATTATACTTAGGCCAGACCTAAGAATATCTATCTCATCTTTCAGCGCTCTTGTTTCTTCAGCAAGGCTCGTCAGCTCATCGTTCCTATGCTGAAATTCAATCAGCTGCTTTTCAAGTTCTTCACAGTGAACACGATAATCATCTTTTGCAGCTTCAAGCCTGAACAAAGAAAACAAGAATTTATAGTATAGTATTTACATTCCACTTTCAGAGGAAAAATTAAGACTAAGGTAACTTTTGGATCTTAATATAGAAACATACATGAATGGTAGCAATGCTGTAAATTTTCATTTTACCTCTTATTTATCTCTAATTCTAATGGAAATTTTAATTAGTAAAGATGAAGAGAAAGGTATCATTGTTTTTTAAAATACATATCATGTAAGGAGGTAAATTTAATTCTTAACCACTAAGCTATCTATCTCTCCAGCCCCTAGGTAAATACTAATTCTTAACAGACTATGACAAATTAAGAACAGTCTGGAACATTCTGTGGTGCCACAAAGAAAGTACTCTAAGTAAGATTACATGTTGTTTATAAGGCACAGGGCCAAGTGAAATGTCTTGACCAAATCTTGGGCAACAGAGCACCAAAATAAATAATGAGAATATCAGCTTTATAGTTCACTGACCAAGAATCCATTACCAAGTAATCCATTACTAATATATGATCCTGGTGCAATTCTGAATAGGATTAAAATTATAAAAGCATTGAGACATTTGATTGCATTGGGAAATTATCTGATTTGAAAATGATACTGTGTCAACAACAAACTACCTAGTGTCCCCATTATACTATGGTTTGTTGTTTTTAGGAAATATATGCTGAAGCTTACAGAGGTAAAGAAGAGTATCTCCAACTTAGGTCTAAAATGACTCAAAAATCTGCACATATCTCTAAAATATCTGCATACCTACATGAATACTTACTAAAGCAGAGAAAGCTATAAAACAGTTATAAAACAGTAAAAAGCATAAAGGAGATCCTTCTATTCTGAAAGCTTTACCTTGTGAGTTTGAAATTGCATCAAAATAGATGTATGATAAAATCAAAATGCTTGTTCTCAAGGTCTCAGTGTAGTAGGCCCAGAAAAAACCACCAATGTTTATTCAAGGTAAGGGCTATGCTTACTTAAAGATAAAGATCATCTTTTTTGCTTAAGATTTACATTATTTCATTTATTATCAAGTTACATTTCCTATGTGAGAAACTCTCTTTCTCCTAGGCTTCTGCAATCACTCCTTTGAACTCATCTTTGACCCTCATCTGTCCGTTATTTTTGAATTAGATCTTTTTAATGTACATAACCCTATGTAATTAAAAGGACTATAGACCCTGTAAGGTGGGAACCACTTATATCATTTGGTATTCTTATTAATAGCACCTTAATCAATGTCCTTAACACGTGTAACACTCAATAATTAGTTGTTGATAATTAGGAGTTTTTAGATATTCATTTAATAAAACTCAAAATTTTCCACTAAAAATATTACCTGTAGTTTTCTTCTTGCAATTGCTCTAGTTGTAATTGTGCATGAAAATACTTCTTTGCAACCACTGTATTGGGATCATCAAAAGAGCCATCCAGCTGGTCAAGCTTTTCATTCATCATCTCATTCTCAGAAACCAGTGAATGCTTCTCATCTTGAAGTGCAGTCACCTGAGAAGCAAACACAAATACAAACATCAACAGCAGCAAAATCCCTCTCAAGAGTTGGGAGTTCTGGATTCTAAATTCTGACTGTACATACAGGTGCCTACAGCAGCCAGAAGATGGCATCAGGTCCTGTAGAGCTAGAGTTATAGGCTGTTGTGAGCTGCCTTTGACGGTGCTGGAAACCAAACACGGTTCCTCTTGGAAGAGCAAGCAGCAAGCACTCTTAACCACTGACCCACCTCTCCTAGTACCCACTATTAATAGATCTATGAGTTCCCTTAACTATGTGGAACTAGACACTTGCACAATGAATTTAACAAGAACTAAAAGTAAGCAATTGTCTTAAAAACAGTAGCAGCAAGTTACAAACACTATCCTGCACTGAAGGAGATGGAAATGGAGACAAGGCTGAGGACAAAATCCGTTAGGCCTCCAAATGATTCAAATTGATTGATTTGGAAATACAAGCAAAATTTAAGTTCAGATATTTTGTAAGAGCTAGTATTAAAGAAAAATAGAACAAACCCAACCAATCCAAAGTAGCAAACTTAAAATTGTACAATTAAGAACTTTGGCCAAAGTAGATAAATGTAGCTATAACCAATCAAATTTTTTTTCTTTTTTTAATTTTTGTGTGTGTGTGTGGGGTGGAGGATGAGTCAGCTTCTTACTATTGTAGCCCAGGTTGGCCTTGAGCTTCTCTTTCGGCTACTATTCTGCCTCCCGAGTACTGAATTGCCAGCATGAACCACCACACCAGGACTTTCACTTAAAAAAAAAATTATTATTAATGTTGGGGGGATCCACTGAGTATATTAATACTGACCTCCACCTATTAATAGTGGAGGTCAGAGAACAATTTTGTAGGACTATTCAAATGACAAATACAAAGACAGGCTGAGGTGTCAGTAGATGAACCATATACAGAAGCAGTTTCTCCTAAAGTCAATTTATCCATCCATGCCTGCCATGTAAGTAGTTTAATGACTATTACCTACCATAAATTCTAAGTGATCCTAAGAGCAAAAGGAGTAAGGCTTTTATAATAGAAATATAAGTATTGCCAGATGTGATGCTCCATGCCTTTAATCCCAGTATTCGGGAAGCAGAGGCAGGTGGATCTCTGTAAGATAGAGGCCAGCCTGGTCTACACAGAGAGTTCCAGGCCAGCTGGGGCTAGTATTTATGTAAGAAATGCTAAAGTTACTTTGCTAGTAACACTATAGGGTGGGGTGAGACACATGGAAGAATACATGCTAACCAGAGATGTTTCAAATTTTGGAATATCTACATATACATAATGAAATAGTTTGAGGATGTAATCAAATCTAAGCACAGAAGTACTTGACAGTAAAAAACTATGACACATCATTAGCACCATGAAAAAGTAACATGTGCAGGTTGAATAGGCAGCACAGAGTAATGCCAGGACCCACGTCAGCATTTAAACAACAGCCACAACAATCTACCATACTGTGAACCTACATCTGTGATGTTATGACTGAAAATACTGTGCACTATTTTTTGGTTGTTTTATTTTTGTTTGAGGAAAAAAAAAAAAAAAAAAAAAGCACAAGTAGCTGAAGGACCAGGAAATGGGTCCTCAAATGGTAAGGAGGCACTGCATGGCTTTTTCAAATATTTGCTCCAAGGTCATCTTTCTCTTTGGTTTTATAAACTGACATGATTTCATCTTCATATAAACATGGGCTGCTCTAATCCTTCACAAAGGCCATTTCACCATGCACTTCTTCTGTAGCATCATAATTGTCAAACACCTTGGTTCAGAACAATGGCAGCTATTCTACCATACATTAGTCAGTGAACAAAAGGAGCCTCATGATCAATGGCAAGAACTTCTAAAGGGGGCAGTACTCGAGTGGCACAGCATGTGCTCAGCGCATACAAGACTCTGGTTTCAACACTCTGCAGCACAACACACACACACACACACACACACACACACACACACACGCGTGCACGCGCACACATCTCTATTCATTTTTCCTAGTTTACTGACAATCCTTGAGGTGTTTTTTACATACATAAGGAAATGAGACATCATTTTTCTCACCTGATAGATGAAGTCCTTCAAGTCATCACTCTGTTCATGTCATCACTGACTAGACCTGCATTCCATCCTTGGAACCCAGTGGTTGTGCCACACATGAACACCTATGCCTTTATTTAGTAGGTTCCAATACTACTAAATGCCAATTCATTGAATCTAAGAAGTATATAGACATAATTCATATACATGTTCATGAGAGCAAAACAAACATGAACTACATACATATGTATGTATGTGAGTGAGAAAGAATATGCACTTTATTAAGTGGTCATACACTGCTAAGAACAACACAAAATTACCTCATTTAATATTCATAAACAATTATGAAGTAAATTCTCATTTTAAAAATATTTTATTTATTTTTATTTTATGTGTATGAGTGTACTGCCAGCATGTATGTGAGTGCACCTGTGTCGTGCAATGCTGCGGAGGTCAGAAGAGGGTTTCAGATTCCCCTGGAACTGGAATTAAGGATGGTTCATAGCCACCATGTGGCTGGTTCAGAACCGAACCCAGGTCCTCTGCAAGAGTAGTCAGTGCTCTTAACTGCTGAGCCATCTCTCCAGCTCCCAAATTTTCATTTTTAAAAAAGACTAAACTGAATCCTCATCTGAACAGCTGAAATTCTCCAACAAATAGAATGATTTTCTCAGCAATTCTGAACTCAAAAAAAGGTATTTATGAACTTCCCATGTGAATACTGAATTATTAACAAATCATTTTAACTTTTCCCCATGAAAGGAAAGCCAACCTCCAGCACTTGCTGCCAGTTCATCATGCAGGAGGAACCGTGCTCTTGGGTTCCTGGTCCATACCTGCATATCTAGCTCTTGGCACCTCTGCTTCAGCTCTTCCTTTTCCGCTATGGCTTCTTGAAGCTCTTCTAAAGCCCTTTTAAGCTGAAATATAATGTAATTTTCAGTAAACCATGTTTAACAAATCAGAAAAATTAAATTCTTCTGACAGTACATATACTGATACTAGAAATCATGTTTCAAATCTATCTGTTAACTGATTAATGAGTCTTGGTTTTGTTGTCTTTGTGTGATATGTATTTATGCAATCTCATGAATATTTAAGGATAATGTCTCACAGAACAAATATTTTATGAAAATTCTTGGGAAATGTTTTAAAGGTTATTAGAAGTTGTATTTTCTAATTTTCTCATAGAAGAAAAAATTAAAGTATGTTTCCAGTTAAACAAAATTTCTATCAAAAAATAAATCTGAAATAGTTCTTCAGATAGCTAGTATTGCTCATGAAAAAAAGATGAACAATACAACGGGTATCTGACAATGCATTTGGCCTCTCATTTCACTTTGCTCTAGGTTGTCTAGAACAAGGGAGAAAGGCACTTTTCTCCTATGTAAAAACAATGCTGTAACAGAACCCTGAGTCTTTGAGCTATTTCTATATTATCAAACAAGGGGCTAGAAATAGGAAAAAAAGATATCAATATTAAAACAAAATCTTGGCATATTTTTAAAAAATTGTCAACTATTTAATGGTATACCTATCTCTAATGGGCCACATAAATGTTAAAATGTCAAAACATTCAGTCCCATTAACTCTTGGAACAGGGTCACAAAAACACTGTAGGCAACCACTACTTACATTGTGAGCATACAGATTAATAATAAAATGGATCTCATGGCAAAAACATGAAATTTCATAAAAGAAAACATTTTGTATTTGCTCTCCCATTTTAAGCCTCATGAAAGTAATTGGCAGAACTAAATCGCTGTTTGCAACATTTTCCTCACATACTAAATACTTACCTGCTGTTCTAATTCTCCAACAGTGTCACTTGTAGGAGAGCTTACGATTTCTTTACTCATCAACTAGGAAATGAAAATAGCACAATTGAGTACAATAGTGTAATGTTCATGAAGTAAAAAAATGTATTTACTTAAAAGGATCATAAAGTGATTTACATTTAACTTTTCCTTGCCTTAACTTAATGATCTTTAGAACATTATTCAAATAAAAGTTTTATTAGAGGTTTAACCTAAACAAAAATGTTCAGCATGTTAGTTATAACATTAAGAATAAATTCTTCCTAGAATATGGAGTTATATTCCAAATACTTCTGTATGGAAAATTTTTAATCCAAATTTTAAGAGACACATTACTGAGGGTGCTGGTTAGCTTTTGTCAACGTGACATAAACTAGAGTAACCTGGAAAGAGGGAACCTCAACTGAAGAATTTTCCAGGTCAGACTTGCCCAGAGGCATGTTTGTGACACATATTCTTAATGGCTGATTGATGTAGGAGGACCCAGTCCACTATGGGTGATGCCATCACTGAGCAAATAAGCCTGAGCTATGAAAGAAAAGTAGCCAAGAAAGCCGGGGGAGTAAGCCAGTAAACAGTGCTCCTCCATGGTCTCTGCTTCAGTTCATGCCTCCAAGTTCCTGCCCTGACTCTCCTCAGTGATGGACTGTCACTTGGAAGAACAAGATGCAATAAACCCTTTCCTCCCCAAGTAGCTTTTGGTCAGTGTTTTATCACAGCAAAAGGAAGCAAACCAGGACAATGAGTGAATCTCAACACATTAAAGACCTTTTACAAAGGATTCTTTCATTTCTGCTTTTTTTGACAGAGTCTCAAACTGGTCGCAAGATTGTGCTCCTCCTGCCTCAGCAGCTGGGAGTACAGGATGTACTATCATGGCCCTCTTAAGAAGTTGATTCTTACACAGGAATAAATTAACACTTTTCACCTAAGACTTATATCCCGGGACTGAGGATCAATAGCACACCCCAAGAATTCTTTATCTTCTGTCACTATTGAGATAATTAATCAGAATATCTTCAGGTTGTTTGGCTCCAAAAACTAAGTAACAACCACAAGTGCTCAGAGGTCTAAGGTTCTGAAAATGCAAGCAACACACATAAACTATAGAATCCAGGAAACACTGCTCTAACTGGCAGAAAGAAAAGATTCAAATTCCCATCTGCACAAAGGTATCACGCTCTTAAGTAGATGAAGTCATTTAAAAGAACTTTACAATATTATCAACTGGCTTTTTAGAATTAGGGGTACTAAAATTAGACTCAGAGGCCTTTTAAGCTAGTTTTATGTTGGAAAAGTTAGCAATAAGTAAACTCACTTAAAAGGGCAAGTTTCTATCAAGAACAACCAATTATCTAAAAACTTAAAATGCAAAATTTTATAATTGGGTTCAGAGATTTACCATTTACATGAACATATATAACTTACCTCCTGAATAGCAGTCATGACCACATGCTGAACAGATTCTTCCAGTGTCATTATATTTTTAATATGTTCTATAGTTGAAAAAAATTAATTTGATAAAAATATACTCTTCTTAAAATTTCTTTACTCAAAAACAGTACAAAAATTCATTGGCCAGAGTTTTTTATGCAAATACAATATTTCACTAATATATCCACTAAAAGGATGAAAAGTATTCATATTAATAATTTAAATATTTTTAGTCAAAGAAATCCTCTAATTTTTATAAGAAAAATACTGTAATTAATAATAAAAAATTGATCTTAATTATCTAATTTTAGATCCAGAAAGTTTTGTTCTCATCTGGGGTCTAGAGAGATGGCTCAGTATTTAAGAGCACTGGCTGCTCTTGTACAGGACCCAGGTTCAATTCTCAGCACCCATGTGGCAGCTAACAACCATCTGTAACTCCAGTCCCATGGGATTCAATGCCTTTGCCCTCTTCTGTTCTTTGAGGGCATTGCATCATCTGGGCACACTTACACACATGCAGACAATACACTCATACACATAAGAAAGAAAGTTTGGTTATTATCTGCATTCCAGGAAGATTTTCAAAGGAACTTACACAGCCTCCTACAAATACCTGCTCAGCACACAGTAATTCTCACCACAAAGAGATGTTTATATCTTACCACAAATACATGCAGTAATTAAAGGTGATTTATTCTGACAGGAAATGAGGAACCCTAATAATAGTCCTTCGCATATTTGCAAATGTAAATCTACTTCAACTGTATGCTCTCCAGCTAATAATTGCCTTCAAATTTTAAGAACTTACTGTCCCGTAGGAGTGACTTTTCTGGGAATGCCTTCTGTTACAAATAGAAATCTTACCTAACCTCATAACCAAAGTAAATGTGTTTTGAGATCATTTAATACTATCTAAGCTTGCTTATCACGTAACCAAGCTTACTGGGCCTTGGGCTCCTCCTGTAAGCTAAATGTGGAATCCTAATTCCTCCTTGCCCTGAACTAAATAATGTATATGTGTGTTTTGAAAATATCAGTGCTGAAGCAGTGACTGCCACTGGAAGCAGTTTGCAAACAACAGGTGGGATTAGACTGACAACACCTATTTGTGGTTGTGTATGCTGTTCTAGGTCAGTAGGGATCAGAGAATAATCTTCCCTGGTAAAACAAGTTCCTTTTTCCTTTCCCCTATCATGCTGGATGTACTGTTTCCACAAATATAAAGCAAGACCTTTGAGAGAACAGTTACAAGAAAATGCAGAAGGAACAATTTCTCAGAATAGAGCAGACTCACTCTTGGTTTTATCTGATGCCAAGGGTCAGACTGTCTTTGTTCAGGCAGGGTGGTATTGTGGCACCTCTCTGCCACAGTATGCAATACTTTTACTGTTTTAATGATTCTTCAAAAACATACCTGGGTCTGGCATGGGGGGCACATACCTTTAATCCCTGTACTAAGGAGGCAGAGGGAAATGGATCTTTATGGGCTTGAGGCATGCCTGGTCTAGAGTTCCAGGCAAGCCATGGCTACATAAGGAGACCCTGCCTAAAGAGAAAAAGAGACAGTCCTACAATCCTCCTTTTTTTGTGTGATAGTAAGAACTGGGAAAGAATCTGAAAAGTTATGGTATGCACCTGACCACTAAATGCTAAGCATACTGAAGACAGAATGATTTACTTTAAGAGAATTTTCTGAATGGCAAAGTGTTTCAAAATCACCTGCCCCTTTGGGAAGAGTACTATCATTAACCAAGTCAGTCCATTAATTTCATTTTGAAAATCATTCCCTCTGCAATGCACAAAAAAGGTGGAGAAGCTGTTTTATATCCCAAGTAGGTTTTTGTTCTTTTGAATGAAAATGAAACTGTCTCTTTATACTCGTTGCTCATTAACCTCATTTATATATCCAGGATCTAAATTTCCTTTTAAAAATATGAAGACAGCTAGGTGTGGTGATGCACACCTTTATTCCTAGCATGCTGGAAAAGACAGAGGTTTAGTCTACACAGCAAGTTCCAGGCCAACTAGGGATATAGGGGATAGACCTTGTCTTTAAAAAAAAATGAAAAAGAAAAAAAAAATGAAGACAAAAAAATGCTTAGAATTAAATTATGAACTGCATTCTATCAAAATTTTCAGAATGTAATAAATTCATCAATACCAGGGAAAATTGTAACTTAAACTATGAATTATGGCTTATTAATAGAAACACAAAGAATTCACAAAAAAGAATGAGATAAAATAGATAATAACAACAAATTAGAATCAAGGGCTGGAGAGATGGCTCAGCAGTTAAGAACACCGACTGGTCTTGCAGAGAACCCAAGTTCAATTCCCAGCACCCACATGGTAGCTGACAACCATCCATATCTTCAGTTCAAGGGGAATCAGATTCTCTCTTCTGAACTCTGCAGGGATTGCACAATGCAGGTGCACATACCCACATGCAGGCAATACACTCATACACATAACATAAAAATAATAAATAAAATACTAAAACAGAATCAAAGTCAAATGTTGGTTCTCTGAAAATGACTAATAAGTCTAAAAAACTGGTAACATATACTAAACAAAAACAAGTTAGAAATCACCAGAAACTCAAATTTTAAAAATGCATTAATCAAAGAAAAGAATCATAATTAAAGCAAACGTGACAGATTTAAAAATGAATCATTACTTGTCAAATTGTGATAAGGGCGCTTTAATCCTTATGAGTACATGTTCTTAGTTTTGATGACAAAAAAGACTATATAGATCTTTAAATCTCCTGGCACTAAAGTAAAAAGTACTTACCTGCCCTCTTAAAAAGTATCTACTGAATGACAGACACAGTACTAAAGTTTTATAATATCCAACCCTGTTTTCTGTTCTGCACAAACTATAATTGATTCCCATGTTACTTTTCTTAGTTTGTTCTTATGGAATTACCTGCCCTGTATCCTTTTGTCATTTATTAAATAATGCTGAACATGTTTTCTAAGATCCCAGCTAAAGTAATTTATAAACTAAGCAACCAAAAGTTTTTATGAAGGTGGCACACTAAGACTAAGCTTTAGACAAACCACACAAAGCAGTGTTAAGCTTTGACCACCCAAGCTGATACAAGCCCCCACTGAGAAGAAGCTTTGGGTCTGCACAGTTCATCATCTGGTTGTATTACCTGCAAACAAAAATGACATTCTGTATTTTGCAGGATACAGATTACTATGCTTAGACATACTAATGTAATGCCTCAATTCTGTTTACTGGACCACTTCCCAGAAGGAAACAGTGGATACCTTCTTCTAAACAGAGCAGGATATCACTTGAAGATGCTTAGATAATTTAGTATCTGAATATTTTATTATAAATAACTAAATGACACTAGGATTCTATTTATATACAAAATATCTGATACATACAATTTATTGACCACTTACTATGTCCTAACCACTGGATAGATTAAAGGATTTAAAATATACTTAGTTTAGTCACTGAATATCAGAATACAGAACACTCAAGTTATACAAGCATCTTAAAAGAAGGGCTGAGGACTAGAATCTGGATACTCTATACACTACCTGCCTCAGGGTGCTTTCTGCCACACTGTAGCAGGAGTTTAACACCTCTGTGTAAATGCCAGCTTTATATGGCAATGTAGATTGTTCCTAGAAAGTGAAAACCTCAACTGACTAAAATTCACTTACCTTGCTTCTTTTCACAGTTGACTGCACAACCCAGAATAAGTTGAAGCAATCTCCCAAGTTCCACAGAATCTGAGCATTCAGTTATTTGGTTTAAGTCAGGGATAAGTTCTTCAGAAATCTGCTGCCCCAAAAACTAAAGTATCAAAACTGTAAATTAGATCACTCATTTACTACATATTAACGAAAAATTAATTAGAAATAAGTTCATAAAACAACTCAGATCAACTAAGAAATGAAAAGTCAATAGCATTGATTAAAAAACAACTTAGAAATATTCAGGGATCTTCTCAATATTCTGAGTAACCAAATAGATTTATTTTCTTATTTGATTCTACCGTCAGAAAGGCAGGGAATTGTTAACGAAGGGCCTGAACTAAACTATTTTACTATGATGAAAAGATGCCTTTTCATTAAGTAGTAAACAGAATAATGTTAAACCAAAGTATATTAGAAAAGGCTGAACTATTTCTACAATCTCAAGAAAAGTCAGAATATCCAAAGGCCATTTGTAATATTACAAATGTGATACATCAACAAAAATTCAAATATAAACTACTGTACTTTTGCAATAAAAAACAAATCCAATGGATTGATTTCTCTAAATTTTCTTCCTTTTTTAAAACTTAATAAAAAATTGTTTGGCATTTAAAATTCCAAAGGATTTGGGGTATGTAATGAAATGAAAATTCTCATAAGAGTATTAAAAAATTTGGAAGAAATTCCAAATTTGTGTAGAATTAAAAAAAAAAGAAAAATTCTTTACTAATAAAATCAGTTCAATGGCTGCCAGGTATTACATAATGAATGAATTATTTATAAAAATAATTAATTTGGAGTATCAAAACATAAGTCCTATGTTTTAGAAATCCTTAAACCTTACCATCTTCACAAATATTTGAGTGCTCTAAAAATGGCAATACAATGTATTACAATTACAAATTTCATTCCAATAAAAATGTTATAAACAAAAAGCCAAGATGTTATTTGTGTCAAAGCCATTATGACACAGCATTTTGTGTTTTAAGTCAGAGCTTTTTCATACCTCATGGTAATAACTCATAATTCCTTGGAGAACCTTCTTTAAGTTATTAGCCTAAAGTGACAAAGAAAAAAAGAAATGAATTCTTATTTCCTCCTAATAATTAAAGAAAACTTATGCCAGGGAGAAGAAATAATTTTCCTGATAAAATAACAAAACATTGCAGAATTCTTAACCAAGAAGTTATAAAAAAAAATAATGTGCAGTGAATCGAATAATAGAAATTCTAAACACTCATTATAAAATAAGTATTAAGAGACCCGAAAAGAGGTGGACAAAACCGTAATCGGGAGAGTAGACACCTCCCTATGTAACTGATGGGAAAGCAGACTCAAAAGATACAAAATATACACAGTGTTATCAACATTGACTAATTCATAGAGAATAAATGCAGGACATGCTTCATCTTCAAGTGCACTTGGAGCATTCACCAGGACACAGCACAGATTAGAAAGCAAATCTCAATTAATGTAAAAATGTTCTCAAAATATTCTCAAAGTAGGTTCTTACTACCAAAAAGGAATTAAATCAGAAATCAATATGTTTATCTGTAAGTCAAAAGAGAATTCACAAGTAAAATTACCAAACATTTTGGATGGAATGCAAATAAGAACACCTATATCAAGATGTATGGAATGTAGACTGGAGAGACGGCTCAGCAGGTAAAGCACTTGCTGCCTGATCACACAAGTCTTGATGACCTGCATTTGATCCCTAGAATCCACATTCACTAGTATTATAGCAACACTGCTAAGAGCAGATTAGAAAGCCTTTCTGGAACTCAAGCTCTAGAAGACACAACAAAACCAACAGAAGTGAAAGGGTTTTAAATATATAAAATCATTTTGCAGTCTTATAAAGTTGAACATAGACTTATACAACTTAGCAATTCCACCATTAAATTTTCTCCTAAGAAATTAAATATGTCTAAGCAAAGATCTATATGAATGTTCACTGCTACATATTCAAAGTAACCCCAAACAAGAAATAATTCAGCTACCCCTCAGGTAAATGGCTAAACAAATGTGACACATCGATGTAATAACAGAGCAAAAAGGGAATAATTACTAATACAGGCAACAAAGAGGCATTCTCAAAAACATTATACTGAGTAAAAGAAGTTTGCATACACAAATGGTACATATTATCTGGCTGCATGTATATGGAATTCTAGAAATGAGATCTATAGTAAACCAAAGCAGATTAGGGCCATCAGGGGCCAAACATGGGGTGAAGATTAATTGGGACGAGATCTAAGTGTACGTTTTTGGTTGGCAGATGCTCTGTATCTAATTATAATGGTCATTATCTGAGAGTAAGCAGGTGTTAAAAAACTCAAACAGTACGAGAGAAAATGCACAAATTAATCTGTAAAAGAGCCTGAGGTGAGCTCAGGGCCAGGACCAGCTACCACTTGATGGGGCTACTCCCGCTCATGCTGCATACCTTTATTCTCCAGTTGTCCCCAACGTCATCTTTAATTCGGCTTAACCAAGATTCATTGAACCAAGCTACATCACTAAAACAAAAATACAAATGATAAACATTAAAATATTTTTATTAAATGAAAAGCACAAAACTGAATCAAGATAGGAAGCATTTTATAGCTTAAAAATCAATCAGATTAGCAAGATTCAAATGAACCTACTTAATTTTATTGTGAAAGATTTATTTGCAATTTCCTATATTAAGTTATGTAAGTAATTAATATTGTCAACTTAGCAAACCCTAAATATTTAGTACTCCACAACAGGAAGATTTGAAAGTGCCAACCCTGAACAGTATCTGCTAACTACAGAGCATTCCTTCTGCATGAGGTATTTCTCTGCTATTTTATTTAAATGTCATAGTAACTTGGCAAAGGGTATTTTATCCTCAATCTTCCTATTTAGAAATTAGAGAATGAGTGATACAAAGTAATTTGCCCCAAATGACACAAGAACATGGCAAAGTCCAAAATCATTCCTGAATATAATTAAGTATAATGATTTAATTAAGAAATCTAAAAAGGTAAGTATTAAAACATACAACTCCTAAGTTTTAATTTGAAATAGGTCCTATTTTGAATTGAAGGTCAATACAAATAACTATTGAACAGAAATTTATGTATTTAATAAGGTTTGGAAAAATAACATTTGACTCTACACAGCAAACTATTAATAGATAATAATCAAAAGTATTTGGACAGCTTATCTAAGGAACCAAGTGAGATTAATATAAAGATTATTTACTATTCTGATTCTTAGAGAAATACCTATTTATTTAGTAAGGAAAGAGCACAAATAACTGAAAGATGTTATAAACACTCTATAGCTTAGCTAATCTTTACCCACCCCCCTCCCACTAAGGTCTTCAGAGACCTGCCCAAAACTGGACCTTGTATTTGAAAAGGGAAATTGAAACTCAAACACATTACTTGACCTTTCTGAAATCAATCAGTTCTAGCTGCTCTAGTAGAGAGGGTGTCAGAGGCATCAGAGGGTATCGCTCTGTCCAGGAGAATAAAAAACTGGCTTCAATATTTTCAATTAATTCATTTGGAGTTTCTAACTGTGCTCAACTTTTCCCAGATGCTAAGACTACAATAACCAAAAGAATGTAGCTAAGTTTACAAAGAAAATGCTAACTAGATGTTTATCCAAAATGATTAATGAGTCAAAGTTGTCAAAACAAACAAAAAATAACTTTCTTCCTATATCTGATTAAGTAATAAAACCTCCCAGGTATAGTAGATGTGATGGATAACCATGTGTCAACTTGTCTGGGCTGCTTTACCAATTATTTGGTCAATCACATCTAAATGCTGCTTTTAAGATACTTAGGTATCATTCAGGTACATAGACTGAGTAAAGCAGATTATCCTCAGGAAAGTGATGGTCCCTCACCCAATCAGTTGAATGCTTAAAAAAGAAGACAGACCTCCCTGCAAGGAGAGCAAATCTTGTCTGCAGACTGCCTCTGGACTCTGGATCTCCAACTTGCTGCCCTGTTCTACAGACTGTGGACTTACAAACCTATGCAGCTGAATGATCCAGTCCCTTAAAATAAACAGATGCACATGCACACACTGGCATCTCCCTGGCCAGTGCTGCTCCTCTGCACAGCCCTGACTATTATATCAATCTCTTAATGAACTCTCCCTTTAAAAAAAATCTAAATGTAGGACTCTATGCTATAACTTCCTTTAGAAATTAAATCTATAGTTTAACCTATTCTTATCTAGTTTTTCCAATATAATTCTTCCTATTTTTAACCTTCTTTCTTGACCTATCTATTCCTTTCCATTTCAAATTAATTTTATCTCCAAGAAATACTTTCTGCTTTCTCTGCAGGAATATATCTCCTGCTTTCTTTCTTATACAAAAATTCACCTCTTAATAAACAATTACCAGAGTAGCTAATCTGATGCTCAAGTGCAGACACTTCCTTTTTAATGTATAGCCATATCTCCTACATGACTTAACTGCATACTGTTGTCTTCCAGCAATTAGCTCCTTTGTTACAGTTGTCAGAACTCCAATGACACTTAAGAAGCATTGTGGTGGTTTGAATGAGAATGTCCCCCATAGGCTCCAAGTATTCGGACATCTTGTCTCCAATAGGTGTCACTGTTTTGGGAGGCCTAAGACAGCATGGTCATGCTGGAGGAAGCAGTCACTGGGGGCAGATTTAGAGAGTTCCTAAGCCTTGCTGGATCTCTGACCACTCTCTGCTTCCTGTGCCTGCTTGAAGATGTGAGCCTCTGCTTTCTGCTCCTACTCTAGCCACCACTGCTGCCATGATTCTCCACCATGGTGGACTCTTGTCCCTTTGGAACAATAAGCTAAATAAACTCTTACTTTTGTAAGTTCTCTTGGTCACAGTGTTTTATCACAGCAACAGAAAAGTAACTAACACAAACATCAAAAAAAAAAAAAAAAGGGACTAAGGGCTAAGCAAAATACAGTTCAATTATTTTCTAATAAAACTAAGGAAAAAATATATTATTATGTTTAATTCTTTGTCTTCAAGAATTTTACCAGCTAACTCTAGGGAATACCTTATGCTTACTAATAACAACTGTGCTGCCTTCATAGACTCTGAGACTATTCTTTACTCAAAAACCTCCCATGTTTAATACAGTGACCTGTTTCTGAACATGCACATATAGACTTTCCTTTCTGTTAGGGTTCCAAACAGCAGCAGTTTCCCCCCTCCCCAACAGGGACCTCACCTTGACCTTTGCAGTCAAGGGAAACAAACTCTGCTGAGAAGCAGCCTGCCTCTCCTCTGATCTGCAAAGATAAGATAAGCAGATTCTACCTGTTAACCAGAGATTTTAGAAGCTGTTTATCACAACAAGCTTTTCTCTTATCTTAAGAGAGAAAAAGTAAACACTTCCAGA